AATCTGGAGCCCCCGCCCGAAACCCACTAAGTCCAAACCTGCATTTTAACAAGTTCCTCTGATGATTCAAGTGCACATTAAAGTCTGAGACGCACTGGTTTACTTTAGTGGGTCTCAAGTCAGGCTGTAGATCAGAATCACTTTGCAAGCTGTATTTATTTATAATGTATATTTTAAATAATATATACACATGGAAAAATTACAAATTCTATATCTCGTAAACAAAGAACAAACAGCATTGCTCTGGCCATTCGGGTTTTGTGTTTCCATACGAATTGTTAAGTTTTTTGTTCTAATTCTGTGAAGAGTGTCATTGGTAGTTTGATAGGGATTGCATTGTATCTGTAGATTGCTTTGGGTAGTATAGTCATTTTCACAATATTGATTCTTCCAATCCAAGAACATGGTATGTTTCTCCCTCTGTTTATGTCATCTTTGATTTCTTTCACTGATATTTTATAGTTTTCTGAGTACAAGTCTTTTGCCTCCTTAGGCAGATTTATTCCTAGGTATTTTATTCTTTTTGTTGCAGTGGTAAATGGGAATGTTTCCTTAATTTCTCTTTCTGATTTTTCATTGTTGGTGTATAGGAATGCCAGAGATATCTGTGCATTAATTTTGTATCCTGCAACCTTACCAAATTCATTGATTAGTTCTAGTAGTTTTCTGGTGGCATCTTTAGGATTTTCTAGGTATAGTATCATGTCTTTGGCAAACAGTGACAGTTTTATTTCTTCTTTTCCAATTTGGATTCCTTTTACTTCTTTTTCTTCTCTGATTGCTGTGGCTAGGACTTCCAAAACTATGTTGAATAAGAGTGGACATCCTTGTCTTGTTCCTGATCTTAATGGAAATGCTTTCAGTTTTTCACCATTGAGTATGATGCTTGCTGTGGGTTTGTCATATATGGCCTTTATTATGTTGAGGTAAGTTCCCTCTATGCCTACTTTCTGGAGTTTTTTTTTATCATAAGTGGGGGTTGAATTTTGTCAGTAGCTTTTTCTGCATGTATTGAGATGATCATATGGGTTTTATCCTTAAGTTTGTTAATACAGTGTATCACACTGATTGATTTGTGTATAGAAGAATCCTTGCATTCCTGGGATAAACCCCACTTGATCACGGTGTATGATCCCTTTAACGTGTTGTTGGATTCTGTTTGCCAGTATTTTGTTGAGGATTTTTGCATCTATGTTCATCAGTGATATTGGCCTGTAGTTTTCTTTCTTTGTGACATCCTTGTCTGGTTTTGGTATCAGGGTGATGGTGGCCTTGTAGAATGAGTTTGGGAGTGTTCCTCCCTCTGCTATATTTTGGAAGAGTTTGAGAAGGATATGTGTTAGCTCTTCTCTAAATGTTTGATAGAATTTGCCTGTGAAGCCATCTGGTCCTGGACTTTTGTTTGTTGGAAGATTTTAAATTACAGTTTCAATTTCATTACTTGTGATAGGTCTGTTTATATATTCTAATTCTTCCTGGTTCAGTCTTAGAAAATTGTACCTTTCCAAGAATTTGTCCATTTCTTTGTGGCTGTCCATTTTATTGGCTTATAGTTGTTTGTAGTAGTTTCTTATAATCCTTTGTATTTCTGCAGTGTCAGTTGTGATTTCCCCTTTTTCATTTCTAATTCTATTGATTTGTGTCCTCTCCCTTTTTTTCTTGATGAATCGGGCTAAGGGTTTATCAATTTTGTTTATCTTCTCCAAGAACCAACTTTTAGTTTTATTGATTTTTGCTATTGTTTTCTTCGTTTCTATTTCATTTACTTCTGCTCTGATCTTTATAATTTCTTTCCTTCTACTTATTTTGGGTTTTCTTTGTTCTTCTTTCTCTAGTTGTTTTAAGTGTAGGGTTAGATTGTTTATTTGAGATTTTTCTTGTTTCTTGAGGTGAGATTGTATTGCTATAAACTTCCTTCTTAGAACTGCTTTTGCTTCGTCCCATAGGTTTTGGGTTGTCATGTTTTCACTGTCATTTGTTTCTATGTTTTTAAAAATTTCTTCATTGATTTCTTCAGTGATCTCTTGGTTTTTTAGTTGCACACTGTTTAGCCTCCATGTATTTGTGTTTTTTACAGGTTTTTTCCTGTAATTGGTTTCCAGTCTCATAGCATTGTGGTCAGAAAAGATGCTTGATATGATTTCAATTTTCTTAAATTTTCTGAGGCTTGATTTGTGACCCAAGATGTGATCTATCGTGGAGAATGTTCCATGTGCACTTGAAAGAAAGTGTATTCTGCCACTTTTGGGTGGGATGTTCTATAAATATCAATTAGATCTAACTGGTCTATTGTGTCATTTAAAGCTTGTGTTTCCTTATTTATTTTCTGTTTGAATGAATTGTCCATGGGTGTAAATGGGGTGTTAAAGCCCCTACTATTATTGTGTTACTGTCGATTTCTCCTTTCATGGTTGTAAGCATTTGCCTTATGTATTGAGGTGCTCCTATGTTGGGTGCATAAACATTTATAATTGTTATATCTTCTTCTTGGATTGATCCTTTGATCATTATGTAGTATCTCTCCTTATCTCTCGTAACGGTCTTTATTTTAAAGTCTATTTTATCTGATACAAGTATTGCTACTCCAGCTTTCTTTTGAGTTCCAGGTGCATGGAATATCTTTTTTAATCCATTCACTTTCAGTCTGTATGTGTCCGTAGGTCTGAAATGGATCTCTTGTAGACAGCATATATATGGGTCTTGTTTTTTGTGGGTTTTTTTTGGTTTTTTTTGCGATACGCGGGCCTCTCACTGTTGTGGCCTCTCCCGTTGTGGAGCACAGGCTCCAGACGCACAGGCTCAGCGGTCATGGCTCACGGGCCCAGCCGCTCCGCGGCATGTGGGATCTTCCCGGACGGGGGCATGAACCCGTGTACCCTGCATCGGCAGGCAGACTCTCAACCACTGTGCCACCAGGGAAGCCCATGGGTCTTGTTTTTGTATCCATTCAGCCAGTCTGTTTTGTTTGGGGCATTTAATCCATTTACATTCAAGGTTATTATTGGTATGTGTGTTTCTATTACCATTTTCTTAATTGTTTTGGGTTTGTTTTTGTGGGTCTCTTGAGAAAGAAAAACAGAGCTGGAGGAATCAGGCTCCTGGACTTCAAACTATACTACAAAGCTACAGTAATCAAGACAGTATGGTACTGGCACAAAAACAGAAATATAGATCAATGGTACAGGATAGAATGCCCAGAGATAAACCCACGCACATATGGGCACCTAATCTATGACAAAGGAGGCAAGAACATGCAATGGAGAAAAGACAGCCTCTTCAATAAGTGGTGCTGGGAAAACTGGACAGCTACATGTAAAAGAATGAAATTAAAACACTACCTAACACCATGCACAAATGTAAACTCCAAATGGATTAAAGACTTAAATGTAAGACCAGACACTATAAAACTCTTAGAAGAAAACATAGGAAGAAACACTCTTTGACATAAACCACAGCAAGATCTTTTTTGACCCACCTCCTAGAGTAACAGAAATAAAAACAAAAATAAATAAATGGGACTTAATTAAATGTAAAAGCTTTTGCACAGCAAAGAAAAGCATAAGCAAGACAAAAAGACAACCCTCAGAATGGGAGAAAATATTTGCAAATGAAACAACAGACAAAGAATTAATCTCCAAAATATACAAACAGCTCATGGAGCTCAATAGCAAAAAAAACAAACAAACAATACAGTTAAAAAATGAGTGGAAGACCTAAATAGACATTTTACCAAGGAAGACATATGGATGGCCAAGAGGCACATGAAAAGCTGCTCAACATCACTAATTATTAGAGAAATGCAAATCAAAGCTACAATGAGGTATCACCTCATGCCAGTCAGAATGGCCATTATCAAAAAATCTAGAAACAATAAATGCTGGAAAGGGTGTGATGAAAAGGGAACCCTCCTGCACTGTTGGTGGGAATGTAAATTGATACAACCACTATGGAGAACAGTATGGAGGTTCCTTAAAAAACTAAAAATAGAACTACCACATGACCCAGCAATCCCACTACTGGGCATATACCCTGAGAAAACCATAATTCAAAAAGAGGCATGTACCACAATGTCCATTGCAGCACTATTTACAATAGCCAGGACATGGAAGCAACCTAAGTGTCCATCAACAGACGAATGGATAAAGAAGATGTGGCACATATATATAATGGAATATTACTCAGCCATATAAAGAAATGAAATTGAGTTACTTGTAGTGAGGTGATGGACCTAGAGTCTGTCATACAGAGTGAAGTAAGTCAGAAAGAGAAAAACAAATACCATATGCTAACGCATACAGATATGGAATCTAAAAAAAAAAAATGATACTGATGAACCTAGTTGCAGGGCAGGAATAAAGAGGTAGACGTAGAAAATGGACTTGAGGACATGGGGTGGGAGGGCAAAGCTGGGCGAAGTGAGAGTAGCATCGACATATATACACTACCGAATGTAAAATAGTTGGCTGGTGGGAAGCAGCCGCATAGCACAGGGAGATCAGCTCGGTGCTTTGTGACCACCTAGAGGGGTGGAATAAGGAGGGTGGGAGGGAGGTTCAAGAGGGAGGGGATATGGGGATATATGTATACATATAGCTGATTCACTTTGTTATACAGCAGCGACTAACACAACACTGTAAAGCAATTATACTCCAATAAAGATCTATATATAAAAAAAAGAGCATTGCTCACCACTCAGTTCCTCAAGAAATAAGTCCTAACCCACTGCAGTCTTTGACCGACAGTGCACTCTGAGAGGTGTGAGGTGATCCCTCATTGTGGTTTTGGTTTGCGTTTCCCTGATGATCAGTGATGTTGGTGTTGCTCTTTATCTTTTGATGCGACTGTTCCATCTGCTCACCAAGGTGACATCCTGAGGGGGCCTCAGGGATGCGGCTTCTTTACATTCTCACCCTGGCACAGGGCTTTGTGTGACGATGCTTGTTAATGATGAGGCTTCAAAGAGTGTCTGTGGCTCATATGATGATTTGTTCTTTTTTTAGTTCCATGGACCAAACACAGAAAAGAATGCTGGACCAGCCCCTTTGCATCCCCACTGCCCAGCCCAAGAAGAAAAGGACATCAGTGATATCTTTCTTTTCCAAGGTCTGAGACAAATTATTAGGAACAAATGTCCCTGCTCAGCAGCCACTATGTGTACTTGCTCTTCTGCCTTCGTTTGGTTTCTTCCATTCCTTCTACTGAGGTTCCTTCTCCTGAAAAAAAGTTTGATGACAGCTCTTTAAACACAAATAGGATGTTTATATGATAACAAGAAGATGAGTTGGGAAGAATTCAGCTTGCTGCGAACTTAATGATAAAAATATAGAATGAACTGCAGTGAATATTCAGAAATACAGATGAGACTTGGTAATCACCTGAATACCAAATAGGGCTGTGGGTCTCCTCTCCAGCCCCCACCCACTAATAAGGATGGTGAGGAAGCGGTTTGTTCTTGGATCTTGTCTGGATCTTGGTTCTGACCCCAGGACATGTTGGTATGTCCTGTGATGTGCAGAACACCAGGACCTTCCTAGCATCAGGGGTTAAATGCTCTAAAAACCTATCTCTTGCCTTGAAGTTAATTAGAGTTTAGTCCTTTAAGTACGGATTTCTGCATCAGCCACACAGCGCTTCCAATTTGCATTATTTATGCATTTCTTTTCCTAATCTTAATTGCTCAGATGCTCGCATTCTGAGGTAGGACATCCGTCAGGTGCCCTGAAATGCCTGTAGATGTGCTTTGCTAATTGTGTCAAATGCTGTTGAGAGGCTGAGTGAGGTGAGCTCTGAGAATTGACCCTGGGATTTAGCTACACTGGGGGAGAGGGGGTGGGGAGGGGGTATGGATGCCATCAACCTGATTGCAGAAGGTTCAAGGGAGAATGGAGGAGAGCAGCTGAAGAAAGCAAGTATAGACATGTCTTTCAAGCTTTAGCTACGAAGTAGAGCAGAAAAATGGGGAAGGGCTGGGGGAGGGAGAAGGGTCAAGGAATCTCTGCGACAGGAGGAACACAGCTTACCTTGTCCTCTTTAAGGGACCCCTATTCTCAGATCACATCAACACTTCTAAAGCCCCCTTTTCTCAGCTCTGTCACACCCACAACTGCCTAGACACCTCTCTCCATAATGCCCCCAAACCTACCTCAACATTAGCTCTGCATTTTTTTTCTCCACCCCTTTCCCCTTCCTCCATCCATTTCTTCGTTATGTAGATCAAACTAATATATTCCCAGCAAAAACCAGATGTCTTTAGGTGGAGAAATAAGGATTAAAATTGAGCGGGCAACACAGGATTTTCTTTAGAGGGAGGGATTAGGGTTGGCGATGGGTAGGGTGTGACTCTGAACACTCCCAAATCAATACATTTTTGACTCGCCACCCAGGTCTCTTGGAAACTGAGCCTCCAGAAGCAGGAGCCTCTGAAGAATGTGTCTTTCAACTTGGCAGAGAGAGCCTGGGACCCCAGTTTTAAAAAGCGTCATATGGCAATGAGAAGCCTAGGAACTATGGCCTGTGAGACCCCGGACAAGGTAGGAAGGGCAGGGGGCACTCGGCCAGCCCTCACGGCCTGGAGTCCTCAGCACTGGGATGGGGGGCTTCATGTACTAGTTGTCTACTGCTGTGTAACAGTCCATCAGGGGCCTGGCGTTTATTATCTTACAGTTTCCTTGGGTCAGGAGTCCAGGTACCACTTAGCTGCATCCCCTCCTCAAGGTCTTGCAAGGCTGCCATGAAGGTATGGGCCAGACTGCATTCCTTTCTGAAGTTCAGGGTCATCTTCCAAGCTCATGTGGCTGTTGGAAGAATTCATTTCCTTCTAGTTGTAGGACTAAGGTCCTTATTTCCTTGCTGAGTGGCCGCCCTCAGCTCCTTGAGGCCACCCTCTCACAACACGGCAGCTCACTTCTTCACGGCCAGTGGGAGAGTGTCTCCCACTCCTGTCTGCTAGATGGAGTCTCATATAATGTAAGGGAACCATGGGAATGATGTCCGTCACCACTGTCATGTTTGAGAGGCCACAAGCAAGTCACTGGCTCCTTACACACTCAAGGGAAGGAGATTGTACAAAGGCACACGTGACTCATTTGGGGTCATCTTAGGGTCATCACACCTCAGGACCATCAGCCTTGGGAAACAGAGCTGCAGGTAGGATTAACACACAGCTGGACATCACCCTCCAGTGAATTTAATTTTTCTAATCATCAATGCTTGTTTAGTAAAAGATGTTTTCCCCACCTCTTCCTTCAGCATCTGTAAACTTAAGCGACCATTTTGCCTTATCCCCTGTAAAGGTACCCAGTACACCCAGATCACTGGATCGTCCAGGTCCACCACCCTCCTTGACGTGCCCTCCCCAGCCTCACCTACCCATAGGCCATGCTGCAGATTGCTCTCCTTCCAAGACCGAATTGGGCTCTTGGGTTGGTTTAACGGAAGCATTTGTACTTTGCTGAGAGTTGTGGCAGCAGGTGCTGAAGAAAGCCACGGCCTCTTAGTCCAAGTCCCGGGTTATTGGAAGATTAGGAGTGGAGATACTTTTCAACTCATGGGGAGCAACTCCTGTGCTGCTAATGCTTTCCAAACCTTGGTAACAGGTGAGAAAGTATAAAATGATTGTCCTGGACCTGCTGGTGCATGGACTATATGACCCCATGAGTTCTGAAGTCATCCACGAGAACCTGAAGACCCTGACCATCATGCTGGGCAGGATCCAGGGGAAAGGCTCTGGCTCCTTCTTCATAGACATCACCCTTCGGACCAGGACTTTGTTAGATGATGTAAGTGAGACAACGCAGGATGATTCCAGGTTCTTAAAGTCAAATGTGAGCCCTGGTTGGTGTGTTGCTCAGGAAACAAGGCCTCTATTGTTCACTATTTATTAAGAAATCTTGTTGAGAGATTGGTACCGTGCTGGGGGTTATGGACGACATATAAGGACATGTAGGATTTCATCACCGCTCTGCAAGGAGTTTTCACTGTCATGGAGCAGTGAGTACATGTACACTGCTGATGGTGATGCTCATGTGTACTCAATGCTCTCTTATAAACGTAACAGTAAGAGTAGCTTGCACTTAGTGAACCCTTACTGTGTACCAGGCACAGTGCTAGGCAATCTACATGGATTGTCTCATCTAATCTTCCCAATAACCCTGTGAGGCAGGCACTGTTATCTTCACTTTATAGCGGAGGAAACCAAGGCCTAGAAAGGTTAGGTAACTTGCCCACCGTTCACAGAGCCGGTAAGTGGATATGAAGCCAGGCCCTTTGCCCAGGGCCTGCACTCTTAACTGCTGGGTGACAAGGCAGGTAGAGCAAAAAGTGCACAGATACAGAAAACGCGAGGACTGAGAAGCTAATCAGTTAGCTTATCCCAGTTATACACACACACACACACACACATACACACACACACACACACACAGACACACACACACACACACACACACAGAGAAAGATAAGACCTTTAGAACGGGGAACAGAGCGACAGAGAACTTGCATTTACTCACAGAGCGTCTTGCGTGAGTTCCCAACACCTAATTCCCCGGGAGTAACCCAGCGAAAGCGAGGTGCCTGCCACTCACGGGAGGAAGAGAAACCTCGAAATTATAAAACTTGGAGCATATAGAGGAGCTGCTGGGACATTTGCCTCTCCTTCCGCTCAGAGAGGCAGAGAGGCCTTTGCTCTGGGATGTAAACCGGCCCTCTCTGGGGCTGGGAGAGGAAGGTCTCTACTCCACCTCCCTGGCATATAAGCAGATATCTCCGGGCAAGCGTCTCTAAATCTCTCTGGAGGCGTCATCTTAATGGCCAGGGCTTGTTTGCCATGCAAGTATTTTTTAAACCCAGGTCGACTGTAGTGTTTGATCAGGAACTCCTTGTCATGGTGAAACCGGGGAATACTCGTGGGGAGCTGTTTCTGACAGTTTGTATCCCTGTCATAGAGTTCTTCGCTGCCTGCCTGGGCTGTGCCCCATCACATGATTGTCAGACTCCCAGGGGGACAGGCAACCCCTTACACATCTCTGTACATCTCACAGCATTAGGGTCATGCTTCAGGTAGAGTTAGGTCTCAATAAGTGCTAGTTGAATTGAATTAAACACATACAATTAAACACATACACACACACACACACACACACACACGTAGAACAGTGAAGAAAGTGCAACACGAAAGCAGTTTCTGTATGTGTCATGTGTGCTAAAAAATTGTTTTAAATACTTCAGAAGATGATCAGTGGTCTCCACTCTTGCTGAGTGTCTGTGACCCCCATTTCTAGGTGAGGAGGACTGTCCCAGACCAGTCCCTTCTGGTTCACTTGGAGCTGGACAAGATCAAGAAACACTGATATAAAAATCCCTTCACCATGAGTCAGGAGGCTGAGTTGCTACCCTGGTTCGCTGTTCCCTGATGGTGTGACTCTAGGTGAATCACTGAAATGCCCTGAGCCTCTGTCTCCCTAACTGGGCAGGGAGATACTCGGACCAGACAGCTCCCCTGGGAGAGGGAGGAAGGGCCGAAGCCACTGACTTGCAGTCAGGGACAAACCAGCGAATCAGACCCAAAGCAGGGAGAGCTGGCAGGGCGTCAGGGAAGAAACAGAATTGTTATTTCTGCTGCAGGTGGGAGAAACTCAGACCAGGGTAAAGAGAGATGGCCTGGCAAACATGCTGGAAGTAGTAAGCAGGGGATGGGTCGAATGAATTAGGGTGCAGCCCAAAAAAATCCCTTTACGTATTGACGTGGAAAGAGCTCCAAGAGAGAATGGTGAAAAATCAAGGTGTATAACAGTGGGATGGTCCACATCCATTGGTTTAAAAATGTGGGAAAGGGCTATGTAATATATATTTCATTTTTTTCTTCTTTATTTTTTGGAGGAATCACACAAAATTTATGACTTTGTGGGGAGGGAAATTTGGTGGCGGGTGGAGAGGTGTAGGAAGGGAGACTTACTTTTTTATAAACCTTTTTGGTTATTTTGAATTTCGAACCAAGTAAATATAATCAATCTCCAAAATGTTAATGAAGAAAAAAGCTGGGAAGCTGGAAGTAGCACCAGTGAGCCCCCAGTCTAACCCTCTCGTCTGCTGAAGAAGAGGTTCACTGAAGACTCAGCCCGTCTCCGCTCTGTCCCGGAGCCCGGCTGGCTGAGTGCCATAGACTGGATCTGATGTCCCACCTGTAACATGCAGCAAGGGACCAGGGCTGTGCTGTTCTCTGATGCAGCTGCCTTTTGGCATTGACCCGAGGTTTCTTGTTCTGTTCGCGGGGCACCCACAGGAGAATGACAGCCTGAGATACTCGGCCTTTGTCTTGTTTGGGCAACTGGCTGCCTTTGCTGGGCGGAAGTGGAAGAGATTTTTCACCCGTCAGGTGAAGCCGACTTAGGATTCTCTCCTGAGCCATTTACAGGATAGGAATCCCCAGGTTGCCAAGGTGAGTCCGTGACTCTAGCCAGCAGCATGAAACCTCAATGCCATTCCTCAAGGGAGTTGGAATGCAGCCCTGCCGCGTGGAGATGCCAGGCCCTCAGTTCCTGCCAGTTCAGTTACGGACACTCAGCCGCGTATCCATGTGAATCCTGGAGAAAGTGCCTCGTCGATGGCTAATCTCTCTCTGAGCAGGAGTGTTGTTTTCCATTTGCTCTTGCCCCACTTGCCCGGTCCCAGCACCTGTCAAATGCCAGATACACTCAGGTTAATGGTGGGGTGGGGGCAGGGAGGTGCTGCTTGCTCCGTGGGGCACCACCTCCCATCAGAGGAGATTTATTCATATCAGTTAGCTTTTGTCACTGCACCTGGTACAGATTTCCCACCCTTGGCTTCTTAGTTTCCTATGAAGCTTTTGTGTTATTCTTGGAGAAAATGTGTCCTAACCAGGTTGGATCAACCTCAGGGCTGCTTTGGAGCAGGTGAGTGTTTCAAAACCACCAGGAGCAAAGTTTCCACCAAATCACCTGCCTTCTTTAAGGTCACGCATGAGGGAGGGCGAGAGAGAGAGGGAGAGAAAGGTTGAGATTGAATTTAGGAATCCAGCACTACTTTTGATGAGACAATAAGGGCTGTGATAAAGTGTAAAGCTTTGCCCTCCCCACCAGCCCCAAAGTATAGACATGGTCGTTTTATAAGCATAAATCCTTTAAGATTCAAGTTTTCAAACTTCCTGGAAGTTACTTTCACTCTTAGTGGCCCCCAGACCACAGATTGGGTGCAACACTTTTCCTTGCTTGGGATTATAAAACTCTCTAACATTTCTGACAATAAGATGGTAATATTATTTCTCTCAGGCTTGCAAAACAACTTTTCGAGCCTGTTCTCCGTATCTGAGACAAAGGAAGGACTACAGCTTCCAGAGTGAAGAGGACCAAAGGAACCCTAAACTCTGCCGGCAGCTGGTGAGTGAGCAAAGGGCAGGAGAGGTTCTCCCAGGTTCCTTGCCCTCCCAGTGTTAATGCAGAAGGTGGCTGGGCACATCAGGGAGTTACCCCCTTAAAACGACTCAGACCAAGTATGTTTCAACTGTAATTGACCCATAATGCGATGTAAATGGCAAAACACCCAGAGGATTATGCATAAAATATATTGGCAGTTCCAGCTTAGATCGTTGGGTGAAATATATTGGCTGTTTAGATCATCATTTGGATAATGATGCCTCCTCCGCTGAGAATCTGAAGATTGTTTATCCTCATGCTCTGCCTTTGACAACTGTCTGCTCGTTCTAGAGTCAAGGAGGTTTACTGACTTCCTTCCTCACGTGTCCCTTTGCCAATTTCTTTCAGAGCCACTATCATCCAGAGCTCCTGCAGTTCTTCTATGCAAACAAAATCCTGTAAACACAGAGCAGCAGGGAAATGGTTCCAGTGAACACATTGCTGGGGGCTGATATTCCCCCTTTTAACTCTTTGGATACTTCTGCTGCTTCTTGTGATTATGATAGAAAAGGGGGTGTTGGGAGAGCAATTGATGGCAAAAAATAATACTGTGGAATTGTATAATTACACCCAAAGTACATTCTAAATAGCTTTTATATGTCTCATTTTCTCCCCACAGAAATTTGATGAGAAGGTGCATGCTTTAAAACATTTAAAGTATATGTAGATTCAGTGCTTATTTCTCAGCTATTTTCTTCTTAAGGATATCTCTGTCACCAATTTTTATTTTTAATTTTACTTTTAATTTCTAAGGCTTAGGAGAATAACTGCTACCTGAAGTGTTTGTTTTTTTTTAATCTGCTATTGATACTTTGGCATTTGCTATTAATACCTTTTTTTTTTTTTTTTTTTTTGCGGTACTCCGGCCTCTCACTGTTGTGGCCTCTCCCATCGCGGAGCACAGGCTCCGGAGGCTCAGACTCAGTGGCCATGGCTCACAGGCCCAGCTGCTCTGCGGCATGTGGGATCTTCCCGGACTGGGGCACGAACCCGTGTCCCCTGCATCGGCAGGCGGACTCTCAACCACTGTGCCACCAGGGAAGCCCAACACCTTTTCTTGGCGAGACCTATTTAAAGTTGGCCAAGGTACCAAGACATTGGTGTGGAGGGGGATCATTGGCTTCTCATCATCTTCAACAGTCAGTGCCTCCAAGATCATTCCAAACAAGAATTAATAAAGAGAAAAAAAATCGATGAACATGTGTTGAAAAACCTCAAGTTAGTGGTAATGTGTGGAATAATAATAATGAATAACATACATTAAGAATGTTTGTAGTTTACTGGGCACTCTCTAAGCGCTTTGCGAGTATTACTTAATACAGCAAGCTGTGAGAAATGTACTATTACTACCCTCATTGTTTAGGTGAGAAAACTAAGGCACAGGGAAATTGACCAAGATGACCAGTAATTGATGGAGCTGGAATTCAAACCCTGATTTCTGGAGCCTACGTTCAGTCATCGTGTGATACTGCCTTGTTATGGAATAATTGACGGATGGTTAAAAATGTAAAAAAATAAAAGAAATTTTAAACACCCGCCACTTCTGCTCTTCTGTTTGACTCAGTTAACTAACTTTCGCTTTTGTATGTACCAAGTACACATTTTTATTTAATTTGTGAGCTAAGTGTATATTTTTATTAATCATGTCTCGGCTCTTATGTCAATTTTGGGGTGATCAATCCTAGTTATAAGTAGGGTCACATTACTCTTATAAAAAGTTTCAAGAAATCTCTCATAGTCCCTCTCACCTTCCCTCCAACCAGATTGCTACCCAAGCTTCTCCCGGAAATCCTGTTACTACCACTGAACTTGGCGTTTGGCTCATACCTGGAACAACTATGTCCAGTATTGAAAATGGAAAACACAAGAAGGTCACACATGCTACAGAGGGATCTTAATGTCAGTTTGAGAGCGAGGAGCTCAGTGTTTCTGCTGTAGCTCTCCAGAGACAGGACCATGTAACACAGATGAGGGGCGAGGTGTGTCCTAGAAGAGACGGGATGTGGGAGGTGGCCGAAGGGGCACTTGGAGCCAGACATGAATGGGGTTTCTTTCTTCCTGTTTTGAAGCTTGGGTACTTGACCAGGAGCTCTTGGTAGTGACCCAGGCTCAGGAATGAGCTGGTAAGATGCTTCTGAGCTAACAGCCCTCTTCCTTCCTAGATGTTGGCCTGTTTGAAACTATGTTGCAAGGTTGGTTTGTTCTAGAATCTGATGCAGTTCTAGTAAGTGATCAGTAAGTGGTGTGAGAAATGACTGCATTCTGCCAGCATTCAAAAAGGTAGGGGTAGAGTGGGGCAGGCAGGTTACATGCCCTAGAGTACAAACACCTGTGCACTGAATGCCCCTCAGTTGATTAAAATTGTGGAAGACGCTGTTGAATTATTTGACTTTAAGACGTGTGGTAGACTGTTGCTTTGGTGGCCTCCAATGAATCATGCCTCCTGATACTCATGTCCTTGTGTAAATCTCTCCCCTCAGATCTGGGCTGGCTTGGGACCTGCTTTAACCATTAGCATGTTCTGGAAGCACCATGTGCTACTTCTAGGCTATGCTTTAAGAGCCCAACAGCTTCCTCTTTTGCAGTCTGGGTTAAGCCAGCTGCCATGTAAGAAGCCAGACTACCAGAAATGAAGAAGAATGTCTGAAGTCTCCATTTTGGAAGGAAGACCAAGCGAACCACCCAGAGATGCCACGTGGAGGAGAACTGAGGAACCCAACTATACGGTTCAGCCACTCAGGATGGCTCTTCTCTTGCTCTCTGTACATGCCCTGCTCGGCCAGACCCTGCTTCACTCACACGACTATCCAATCCTCTTAATTATAGGGCTTAATTAGCCCCTGGTAACCAATGAGCCCACCTGATGTCAATTCCGCCTATAAATAGTAGCCTCCTTCTCCCCTGAGTAGCAAGACTGCTGGCATGTCCTGCCTGGAGTCTGCCGCACATGGTGGGGTGTTGCTCCAGGACCCTTTGTGTAAGATCCCCCTGTCCAATAAACGTCCCCGCCGCTGTCTCCAGGCTCTTTCTTTGGCCTCAAGGCTGGGCAACTACAAGGCTTGCAGGCCTGCGGGGTGCAGCCCAACACCAACCCATGGTGAGGTCTGAGACCCAGACATATGACACAAGTTGGCCGTTCCAGCCAGACCCCAGTCGTTCAAGCTACTCCACCTGTCATCCTGTGGAAGAGACCAGCTGTCTCCATCAAGCCCATCCCAAATTGCAGAATTGTGAGTAAGTAGTCAAGTGAGTGTTATTTTAAGTCACTAACTTTTGGGATAGTTTGTCACTCAGCAATAAGTAACCAAAAAAAAAAAAAAATTCCTCGTCACTAGTGTTGTCTTTTGGCCAGTTTTGTTTTGCTCTTAATAAGTTCTCTTTGAGTTTATACTTCTAGAAAGTTATGTCGTCAGGGAATGTCAACATGGAGAGCAAGGGCCCATGCCTTGTTTTTATTTCCGTATCTCACTGTATCTATCCCAGCACCCAGCACATAGCAGATGATAAGGAAACATTTGCTAAATGATTGAATAGTTCCAAACTAGTGGGAATAGAGTCCAAACATTAGTTTGCCATTCTGGGCTCTCAGCCACGGGCTCACATGCTTCCTTTCCAGCTTTTTCTTCTGTTACTCTCTTTGCTTCAGTGAAGTTTGGCCCATCTCTTCCCTAAACACTGCTGGGTCTCTTAGGTTCCCTGCCTTTGCTCAGTCTGTACTTTCTGCTTCGAATCCCTTCACTCCCACACCCAGGCACACTCACACGTACACACACGCACATCTCGCGTGTATTTCTTGTCCCTACTCCAAGACCTGGGTCAAATGCCTGATCCCCTCAATCAGGGAAGAACTCGTATCTCGGAATGCTCAGAATATTCTAGCAATCTTCTGCCACTTAACATGTTTTACCTCATTTGAAAGTTTTTTAACCTACAGGTCTTTTCCCCCTCTGTTAGACTGAAGCTGCTAAAGGTTGTGCCCCATCTTGTATATTTTTGTATCTCCTATATGACCTCAAAGGTGCTCAGTAGGTGCTAGTAAATGAATGTTGATTGGGGGAAAAGCCAGAAAGTCATCTGAAGCTATTGTCCCTTGGGAGGAGCCCGTTTTGACAAGTGAGGGTGATCATTTCTCTCCTTATAACCGATTTACAGGTTACTTTTATGCTTATGTATTTAAAGTTTTTCTTCCCCCATGAGATGCCTTTTAATTTGAATGCCAACCTAAAGACAATGCTTTGACATTTCTTACTTTGAAACACTAGACACAGGACAGTTGAATGAATGAAAGAGAAAGGAAAGTTCAAGTGCTACCATGCTAAGTGGTCAGGGAGGGGTGTGCATAAAACTTGGTCCCTGCTTTCAAGTCTCTCATGAAATCGGTCTTTTTAAAGGGAAAGGAGAAGGGAGAGAAAAAGACACAGAAGGAAGTTGAGGACCTAACAAGTGTGATCAGTACTGGTCATCGGTGTGAACAGAATCCTGGAGAGTAATTGAGGGAATGCTTTACATGTTATAAGAGCACTAGAGTGTGGTTTGTGAAGAGGAATGGGCAGCCGAGTAGGAGAGCCAGCAGGTAGTGTTGGTAAAAAGGCAGACACATATTTCTGCTCTTCTATATTTTCCAAGTTTTCTGCAATAAGCATGTATTACTTTTACAATCATAAAACACATGCCAAAATGCTCTTTTAAAATTAAAGGTCAAAATTAAATGCCTATTGGTGTGTAAAGCGATATAGTTTGGAAAGCTTGGGATGGTTATTGTTCACTCTCAAGTAGTATGTGTTTGCCTTTGTCCTTTTGGGGCATTTTTTTTCTTTATTTTTTGGCTGCGTTGGGTCTTAGTTGCTGCACACGGGATCTTTGTTGAGGCATGCGGGATCTTTGGTTGCGGCGTGCAGTCTCTTCATTGTGGTGCTCAGGCTTCTCTCTAGTTGTGGCATGCGGGTTTTCTCTCTCTGGTTGTGGTGCAGGGGCTCCAGAGCGCATGGGCTCTGTAGTTTGAGGCACGCGGGCTCTAGTTGAGGTGCACAAGCTCAGTAGTTGTGGAGCAGGGACTTAGTTGCCCCACGGCATGTGGGATCTTTGTTCTCTGACCAGGGATCAAACCTGCATCCCCTGTATTAGAAGGCAGATTTTTTTACTGCTGGACCACTGGGGAAGTCCCCTTTCGTGGCATTTTTGTCTTAACTTGTTGATGACATAACTTGTTGACAAGTGAAAGGGCTTATGGGTAATTATCAGGGTATTGATGATACTGAATTTACATTCTTCCAGTCTGACCATAGGAGAATAAGTCTCTTGTTTCTATATTTATTTATGTGTTAAATGTTCTTAGAAAATCCTTGGGTTCTAGATAAACCCAATACATCCCAATTTACTGAGGAGAGATGGTTTGATATTCAAAGGCCCCTGTTATTTACCAAGTTAAGCACAGACTTCCAAGCCTGACATATAAGACTCTTCAGAGACAGCAACCTCTAATTTCCCTTGGCTCTTCTTAAATTCCTACTTCCTGAATACTTCACCCTCCATGTCCTTGTTTCCACCCACCATTCCCTGGGCTGATTCCAAATGCCCTTCTTCTTCTGAGGGAGAACAAAGCAGTTGGGAGGATGGGGCCTGGAATTAGCCACCCTCCTGCCCCTCCTCCCAGTGTGAATCTGGCTCTGCCACTTACCCATGTGACTCTGGGTAAGCCAGGGCAACAAGCCTCAGTTTGCTGATCTCTGAAATGGACACAATAACTCAACTCAAAGAGTTGCTGTGCTACAAATATTCAATTAAATAACACTGAGCACTTCACACAGTGCTTGTGTAACAGGGAAGAACAAAATCTGACTCCATGTTGGATCTGTTTCTTTTACATTTAACCTTTGCTCTCTGTTACTTTTTGTTACCATAATCACTAAAATGATGTTGTCTATAGCGG